GTGCTTCAGGCGACGCAATACACGACACGATGCACGACGCGACGCACGACAGCTCGACGCGACGGGCGACGGAAGGGGCGACGTTTAGGCGGCAAAAAATGCAACATGGAAAGGACCTAAAGTAGCACAACGCGACGGGCGACGGCACGACGCGACGCACGACGCGACGCGTCGTGTGTGTACAAAAGCAATGGCAAGAAGGCGACGGTGCGACCCGACGGCACGACGCAAGGGAGCCGTCGTGCCGTCGCGTCGTGTAGTTGCGTCGCCTGGAGGGAAGCTAAAGAGAGAGAGAAATGTTTGTCGTAAATAGTACACCATACCAGTCTACACACTGGGGTTTGTGCATCACAAAATCACTTAGCACGTGTGCTGGTCCCCTGTACTTCCTGTTGTCAACCAGGCCTTGCTAATGGCAACCAACTTGCAATGCTGCATGGGTCTGAAAGGAGCATAGTACATGTATACACAAGGAGAATCGTTAGTGTGTGCCACAAGGTGATAACCAGACTAGGACTTTGAACTTGACAAATTATGTTCTGCTTCCTTCCCAATTTGCATAAAAATGAACATAAAAGAATTGAAAATTGAACGGCATTCATTAGATCTATGCAACTCTGTAATGATGTATGCTGGTTTGTCCACTTGAACGTGATATATCACGGCTCTTATCACAAGGTTAGTCATAGTCACTGAAAAATCATGAGGTTACACATTGCGTCTCGTGACAGGCGCATGTGACACAGACGGTAAAAATACGAACCACTTCAGTGGTATATTGCTGTCTAATCTTAAGAAACTCTTTTAAGGGGTACATAAAATGAGCACGTCATGCAGTTGTCGGCATTACGAGCAATTTTTAACCTGAGCAAAACTAAAACAAAAAAATGCAACAACGACTTAATGCCTTGTTTCGACATATTTAATGAAAATTGGTGTCAATTTTGACTAATATAACTGCAGGTGATAAAAAGTTTAGGGTAGTAAAAGACACAAAAACAGAGGCAATAAAAACGCTGCAAGATTCTTTAAAGTGTTGTTTTCAGGATACAGGCAATTTGGCTGAGAAGAGGGATGTTTGTCCTGTAGAAAACTAAATGACAGTAATTCGTGGATGCCCTTACGGCAGAACAAATGACAAGGCAACTTTGCCAGGGGCGGATCCAAGAAGTTTTCTAGGGGAAGGTCAGGCCGGAGAATTTTTTTAATATCCCATTTCTCCGGACATGCGGCACGGTAACACATACATAACATACATTGTTTGCAATTTTTTACAGTGGTATTGGTGCACTTATAACTTTATTTTTCTTTATTTTTCTCGTTTTCTACTTTTTTTGTCTCGGAGCAAGGGAATCGACCCCCTCCCTGGCCTGTTGGCTGTCCCTATTGTGATAGTACACAAAGAGGACGGAATGTCAAGTGTGTCGACAATTGGTCACCCGTCCACCACCCTCTTTTCTGTGGGAGGCCAACCCTAGCAACTCTCAAGGAAGTGTTGAGACGGGGATGGGAAGGGAAACTACAGAAACTCGTTAGCTTGGCTGGGAGATGTTTTTAGTTTGATTCTCTAATGATAGTCCTCTTTTCTCTTATAAAAAAAATTACAAACTTTAAAGAACGTCACCGGCTTCCAGAAAAGAGGCAATTTTCGCTGGGATGAGGAATGAATGGACAGATAAGGGATGCCTCGACCTTCACCCTTTCCACTGCCTATACCGATCCGCGATCTGCTGTTGCGGCGGCTTCGTCACATTGACGTCAGTCATCACTACGCAGGTTCCGCGACCACGTTTGTTTGGGTACATTTTTATCATAGCAAGTTCAAAAGAGTCGAGCATAAGCGTGTCCAAAAGGGTGACTAGTTCAGCGAATGTGGGCCATCGAAACTCACGTGTTTCTGACTCACTGGGATTATTGGCTCAACTGTGGGTGGTCTACAATCCGTACGCTTCTGCCAGTCCTGCTTGTGGTGCTCGTGCTGGATTACTTATTAACGCCACATTTCATTTATTAAATGTTGAGTAACAATGTACATCGATATGTATTATTATAACCCGTCAGTACCAGGGACGTACTGGTATCGTCCGAGTGACATGAATAAGATCCCCCTCTCCTGATTTTGTTCAGACGACAGCCAGGCCTCCCATCTTGTTAGTGATCTAATAAAATCTGTTTACAGACAACTGTTATTGGTCAGTTTGGAGCATCTTATTGGGGCGTTGTCTCTAGCTGGTGGAGCAAAGGTTTCGTCTGCTGAAACAGTCAGACCTATATAAAGGGATGCTGCAGATTGCCCGGGCCAACTCGCTGTAACTGCATTCATGGTCTGCCTACAAATCTACTATGTCTCGCGTTGGATCGACAGATCACACGACAATCTCCACCCGGCTGGTAGCTTGACTTCTTAAACCCCTTCACATCAGAGAAGGAATCCTTCCACATTGTACTAGTTCGATCGAGCCCAAGGACTGCTGAGTTGATAAGTAATGTATATTTTTCCTTAGCTGTCTGTTTTAAAAAATAATTAGGAGATACTGGCAAACGAGTAGAATCATTCTTATCGACAGAAGTGTAGTGAATGCAAAACACCTGCTTTCAACTGAAATGAC